ACCTTGGTGGAGCAGTAAAAGTATTTGACCGTTTTTGACTGGTAAAAAAATGAACTGAAGAGCCATCCCCAAGATATCGGGATTTCGGCTGACCGCAGGCTAAACAGTCTCATCAGCGCCTTTTTCTGAGGCTGTTGTTGCTGCTGCTGATGCTGCTGCGGCGGCTGCTGTTGCTTTGCCAGGGCGTCTGACACAATCTTCTCCACTGAAGCCCTGCTCAGTGAGTCCTCCTGTTTGGGAGCCACAGCTGGAGGGTTGAATACGGCAGGTGGCAGAGTTATGACAGGCACACTGATAGTTTGGCTACCTGAGGTCAAACTATGCCACAGCTGCTGTGTCTCTAAAACCTTTTCTGGGGATGTGTTGAGGGAAGAGCTGGTGTTTTTTAATTTTGCCAGATGTTTAACATATCGTGAGATATTTTGGACTGTGGTCGGGTGAAGGAGGCTGTTCCGGTCTGTGCATCCCCTCTGGACCATGGCAGCGTAGTCCGCATCCACCCGCTTCAGGACATCTTTGGCACCACGGTGGTTTACCAGAAGCTCGTCGATGGCAGCTTTCATGGGTTCTGTCCACCGACCATGGTCCAAGACCTGAATGAGGCCACCAGTTTTAATTGGTCCAGTGCGGGTGGCTCAAGGAGAGGAGGACTGAGGCAGCGGTGCTATCCCTGTCAAGTCTAAAAAAGAAATATATGTTAATTATATTTTTTTTATGCCAGTGTGTTGCAAATCAATTAGCTCTTTTAGTCATTTCACTTCACAGCTAATTTAACTTTTGTGGGACAAATAACTGATTATCTTATATTCCTACCTCTTGTTCTTTTATGCTTTTCAATAACTTTTACATTTTGCATACACTTGCTTAATGATTGTTGTTAATAAACAATATTTCAACATGATGATATTACATATATTATGTGCACGCCTGTTTTTAACAGTGAGGTAGTGTAGGTAGGTACACGGACACCTTAAAATACAGCCAGTCTGGTGAAGCCATTTTGGCGAGCTTGTTTTGCCGCGTCATATGATCGGCTCTCGCGGTCGGCATTTTTAGAGAGCACCGATCGATCGGCCGATATCGATCTGCGTCCGATCGATCGGAGCATCCCTAATTACTTCATTGCCCTGTAAATGTGGTTGATTACAACAATAGTAAATCCTTTCAGTCACAAAGCACATAGACTACTGTTGGATGTCATTTGGTCAACTTGCTGTCCCCAGAGTCAGAACTAAACATGGAGAAGCAGCGTTCAGTTATTATGCTCCAAACATCTGGAACAAACTCCCAGAAATCTGCCGGTCTGCTGCAACTCTGACTACTTTTAAATCCAGGCTGAAGACTTTACTTTTTGCCGCTGCTTTTAATTGAACTATTCATATCTTACACTGCACTGTAACTTTTATCCATGTATTTTTTTCTTAACTTTTATTTTATTATCTTTGCTTTTTAATGACTGTTTTTAAATGCCATTTTCTTAATGTCTTTCATTTTTGTAAAGCACTTTGAATTGCCTTGTGTTGAAAGGTGCTATATAAATAAACGTGCCTTGCCTTGTGTAATTTAGTAATTCAACATTTATTTTCTAGCTGTTTGTGTTAATGTGGAATTAATAATTGGTGTATTGTAATTACTTTTGGTGTAATTATTTAAGTTAAGCAAAGCAATTTTAAAGGTGGTTTTGGGCACCAGCTGAACCAGGTGGTGGTGTGATTGCTGCACCAGAATGAAATGCCACAGGTGAAACCAATGTTCTTTATATGTTGGATTATTGGAATACGAAAAAATAAATGGAAAAAAACACGTCTTGCCTTGACATTGAATGTTTTCCAGCGTAAGATGTGCTCACTGGGGCCTTGCAGCTGTTTTTAAGCACTATATAGCAGATGGATAACATATTTACCCATAAAATAATCACAAATGCATAAAAGAAAATAGCTCAAATGGATGGACAGATATAACAATAATAATTCTCTATTAGTTTTGTACCAGGAGTTTATTTGAAAAGAGACTGAATACTGTTGTATTTACCCATTTAAAATGCACAGTAGTAAATTGTACTGCTGCAAAAAAATGACGATGAAAATGTAGAGCCTCGTCAGGCAGATCTAGTTTCCTCATTACAGAGCTCAATAATTCTTGTATGGCAACGCATTACTAATTCGTGGGAACATAATAACTAATTCGTGGGAACATAATAACTAATTCGTGGCAACGCATTATTAATACGTGGCCACGTATTAATATTTTTCTCACCAATGTCACCAGGGGGGCTCCGTATGTATGAACTAAACAGTAGTTAAAATGTGATTTTTAAGCGTACACATTTTTGGATTTTGGATCAGTATTGACAAGATACATTTTAAAACACAATTGACAACTCTGACGTAAGTAAAAAGTAATACATTAGCTGCTGTTAAAGCTGACATTTATGTTGTAAAGACGTTACCTAACAGTAAGTTACATTACCTTAGCTAACAATACAGAGTGTAAGACGTCAAAACTACTAACAAAAACAACAAAAAAGTGTACTAATGAGTTAGTCATAGAAAAAATAAGCCCCACTTACGTTTGATACATTTGACGGGATGTTAGACGTAGGTTGCGTGATATTGTCTATGGATCAGAGCCATATAATATATATATTCTATCTATAGGCGCTGCTATGGATATTACTCGAATTTTGTCGTTAATGTAATCTCTTTTTGCTGTTGTTCGTGCTGCTCCTCCGTCTCTGTTGTCCCTGGAAACGGGGTCTCCACAGCGCACGCTTTTGGCAAAAAATATATTACATCCGTAGTTAATTTAGCATTTTATTTATGTTTATATGTCAGCCCCACAGTTAAACTTGTAGTATTTATTTTCTAGGTTATTGTGTTGCTTTTACTTGAGTGATTTTCTCTTTTCTGTCAATGTACTGATTTATACTCCAGCTCGGTAGTCGGCGGTAATGGTAACGTGTGTAAACTGCCAAAACATCTAAACAAGAAGAAGAACTACCTGTATCTATGGCAACGATTACAATCCATTAGCAGTAGTGTGTGGTTGCCTTTTAGCTTGTTAGCTTCTTCGTAGTAGCTGTTACTTACAAATCAACCCTTATTTATCTGCCTTTTCTGTCGCTTTTAGTTTCAAATGCTGTACACAGTTACTGTATATATGGCAAGTTATTACAAACACGAAAAAAGTACCTGTTGGCTAACTGTAGCTAACGCCAAGTGCTAGCTTAGCTAACACGAAAAAGCGTTTTCCGAATGTTTACTAGCGATATTGAATACTATCTTGATGGCAGATAGTTGGAACACAGATACAGGAGAAGCTGTGTATAGGTCCCGGGATGCTGTTAAAAACTTGAAAATAAGGTGAGTAGCTCCTGATAACGTTAACATTAGCCAAGCTACAACATTTTGTTCAAGCAATGGAAAACCTCTCAGACTGCTCACACTCTTGTCGAGCGTATTATGTATTTATATTATCGTGTGGTTCCTTTAACGCTGGTCTCCTTCCTTATTACATGTTATATGTATGATCAAAAGGACATTTAGACATGTTCTGTTGCGATGATAATCTACACCACAAATTTCTGCACATTTAAGAGCAGAAGTAAACAACGACTTTATTTTTCTTATTATGATGCCATGAATTTTACTTTGGAGCCCAACCATAGGTGGTGTAGTGCAACTAAAATGTTTCTAGCTGCGGGAGTCGATATTTTACAAACTCTCCAAAGACATCTCATTGTGCATAAGTAGTGCGAATAAAACAAAATATCAAGAAAATACATTGAAATAAAGGTACTCAAACAAAATGCAGAGTGCCTGAAATTTTAAAAGGTTGTAAACATGTTAAAAACAGGTAATGTAAGTGTTAGATATATAACTGGTAAGCAGGAAGGTTAATTTCAAAAATACAAACCTGTGAGGGTCATAGAAAAACAGGTTAATGATAAAGTGTGATCCAAAACAGAGATGAAAGGAGGCCCTGGATATCTGAGCTGTTGATCTCTGCCTGAGGTGAGTGGTTCAGCTTAAGTACGCATTTTAACTGGACATTATTCATTTATTTGTCCTCTTTAGGGTGCGTATAGAGAGGGTGACCTCCACAGCAGCCCTCTCTCAGCACCTCCAGCAGCATGTGCTGTCCCAGCAAGATGGAGGAGCCATAGAGCTGGAAACCCTCACACCACAAGGCCAGAAAGGTATACTCGTCTCATTCTGGGCAAAAGACTGATTGGTGGTGAAATCGAGGTTCAGGATGGACAGTATCTGTGTGTTTATTTGTGACATTTTGTGACAATTCATGAAGTTGTCTTACACTTAAAAGAATAATCCCAGTTACCTCCACAATCAGGCATACCGTTTATTAATCAAACACCAGTATAGGATCTGTAATCTATAAATATTAGGACTAAAAACTTGGATCGGCACATTCTTATTTGGACTGCTGTTGGACATTAAGTGTTATGTTGTTTGTTTGTTGGGTTAGGGTTAGTTACAGTGCACAATAAGTAAAGTATATACCATCATACATTAAAAAGCATACATAAATGTAACAGACGTAGTGTATAACTTTTATTTTCACGTGTGTATATTTATTTCATTGTTTTACATCAAAGTTTATTTTAATAACTTGGATTTCTTCCACTCTGTCACTAGGTGATAATGACGAGGAGCTGGTGGTGGGCTGGCAGGAGAAACTCTTCAGTCAGGTAGCACTTTAAGTATCCGCAGCAAATTATAATGAGTGATTACAAAATAACACAACTTAAATATCAAGTGTTTATGGTAAATGTTTTGTTGTTCTCCTACCCATGCCTCTCTATCTGTGGTCCCAGTATGAGATGGAGCTGTTTCAGAACGAGTCGGCGTGTCAGACCCCTCTGGACCGCCAGTACCTCACAGAGATCCGGGCCCTGAACAAGGCCAAGGGCCGGCGCAATCACAGGATTTTCACATACACTGATCATGATCGCTTCACCAGCTGTCTTCCTATCCAACAACTAGTAAGAACCGTGCATTCTACAGTGTCTATGCCATTGTCCAATAATGCACCTTACAGTGTTATATTTTCATTTACGCATAAGATAAGAATGGAGCAGAATCTTTGGTGCTATCTTACCTTCAAATTAATGTATTGTTATAAAATGTATGATAATGCACAGTAACACTAGATTAAGATTGAAAACACGTAGGTGTATGTCCCCCTTTCTTGACAGCAGACATGCTTAGTGCCATGTTCACACTTTAGAATGCTCTTTCTGTCAATGGCACTGCCTTGTGTGTTAAGTTGTTGTGGTACTTGGTGATTAAACATAAACCAGATTCACCAGAACCAGAAGATTCTTTTTGTGTTCATCTGTAAAACTGTTTGTAATAAGTAGCTGGTTGTTTTTAATCCTGAAAGCAGTACCCGACTGACTTATTGACAACAACCAAATCTGGCCCCACATTCCTGGCTGAGAGGATGGCCAGCGTGAGAAACAGGCGGCAAGAAAGACGAACCTTGTAAGTGAAGCATCACTTAATTTATTTAAATTCATTGATAACCTGGACTACCTTCCATTGGGAAGTCTGTATTCTTTTTGAAATATCAAAAATGCTTGTCATTAGCGTCTCCTCTTGTAACTAGTTTGTAAACCCCCTCACAGGAAGTGCATTAAAAAGACAGAATTTGTGATGTTTCATGTTTTAAACTGTCATGTCTGGCTCATTTTGCAGAGATTCTAGTATCCCTAAGTCAAAGATCGTCATCTGGGAGCCCACAGAGGAGTTTGTAAAGAATAGTCATGTGGTGAATAATGCCATGCAGACCATGCACATCATGGCAGACCTGGCCCCCCCTGGAAGGTGAGACCCCATCTCTGTTCAGTCCTTATTGTTCCATGTGGAGATGTTGACTTAAAGCACGGTCGTAACAGACACATCAAAACAGACTCTAGATCAGTATTAACCTGAATCAAATCTTATTAATATCTATATGTATCAATCTCTTCAATCTGGCTTTTAATGTGTGATTGTTGTTGTATTGCTTGATTTTAATTTGTCTTCAACTATATTTATTTGTTGCTCTTTTCTTTTCACTATCTCTGTAAAGCCACTTTGAGCACCTGTAAAAGCGCTTACAAAATAAATCTATTATTATTGTAATATACACGTTATATCTTGTAGTACAATGTGCACATTTAGATTTTAGATTTTTTATGGAAATGTTTTTATTCTATTTTATTTTATCTTTTGGACTATTTGTTTAAATATCTTCATTTAAGTTAATTGTGTTAATTTAATTGTTTAATTTAACCTTTTGATTTTTAATTCTCATGTTTATATACATATTTGTAATTGATTTAATTCATTCTAAAATTGTTGTGGAAAAAAGATCCCCCTGGAATAAATAAAGTATTCTGATTCTGACCGTACAGGTTAGAAAGCATCGATTGATTTCTACCTGTCTCAGTTGTTTCTCTCTCTGGATGTATTTGCTTCCTCAGGCTGGGCCAGAAAGAGAATGAATATCTGCTGTTAACCATAAAAACAGACGGCAGTGGAACCGTCATTGTAAAACCTGACTTCAACAAAGGCAAAGAGCCTTACAGGCAAGTTCACAGCATGAGAGCAGAGTGTTTGTGTCTCCAGTATTGACGGATATCATATCAAAATGTTTAGAATTGTCAGTAGAAGCTGCACTATGTACTCTAATCTTCTTTAAAAGTCTGCTACTCGGGCCCAATTCTTGACAGATATTGGCTGGATTGTAATAGAAAAAGTATGTGGATTTTAAGTGTAAAGAGAAGTGTGATTTTGTGACAAGTTGAACCAAAACGTGTCGTGTGTGTGTGTGTGTGTGTGTGTGTGTGTGTGTGTGTGTGTGCAGGATTGTAACAGTAGGGCAGAAGAGAGAAGTTTGGCGTCTTAATGTGGAGAATGTGTGCACAGCGATGCAACCGGAGGAGAAGGAGAGGGAGCAGAACATGTACAAAGACGTGAGTTCATCTCCTTCATGTTTCCCTCCAGGATACAGAATACAGCTTTTAATGTTCATGTTACATTTACTGATTAAGGATTGAACTGAACCAGTTTTATGATTTGGAAACATCCCTTTTCCTTTGGTTCTAGCTGTACGTACGGCATAAGGAATACCTCAATAGCCTGGTTGGACAGGACTTTGAAATGGTAAGTCCTTTTGAAAATAACTATTAGAGATGAATTTGATCAGAAAATTGGATTTAACGCCCATTTTAGCTTAGCAGAAATCCAGGTTACATATTCAAATTGTTTTTCTTTCTGATCAACAGTCTAACACCCAAAAATATTCAGCTCACAGTCATGAATAAAAAATAAAGCAACAAATCATCACATTTCAGAAGCTGGAAATAGCATGTTTGGGACCTTTGATTGGGTTGATTGATCAAATATTAACATTGGACCTAAAACAAAATCCAATCCACTTTATTTCTATAGCACATTTAAAAACAACAGAGTTGAACAAAGTGCTGTACATCAACAACTGTATAAACACATAGCATAAATACATAAAAAACAGACAGGACATGAAACAAGTGTAAAACACGAGACAATGAAACCAGATCAGAAGCCACAGACTGAGAAACTCTCCTACATGACGTACAAACAATACAAAACACTAGTAACATAAAAACCGACAAAAATGTTTGGCACTAACTCTATTTCTGTCCCCTAGCCTCCTTTAGGTATTCTGCGCTACATGATGAATGGAGAGATAGGTGAGTAGGAAAACACTGCTCATCACTACTGTATATATTTCCTGTCTGTCTTTGGCATTTAAAAGCTCTTTCTCCTTTTCTTTCCCCAGTCTCAGCCAAAGGCTTTGAGTATGATAATTTATACATCCACTTCTTCATGGAACTTCCCAACAGTAAGTCACATACACAGTACACGAAACTATACACAGTGTTATACTTTAAAATATTTGAAACTAAAATGCATTTACCGTTTGAACTTGTACTATTCTTGTTTGTTTAAGATTGGTCCAGCCTGCCTTATCAGTCTCACTCGGGGGTAACGCAGACCTGCCGGGCCAAAACATTAGGGAAGGTGTGTACACTGTAGGACAAAAAGGTGAGCAGCATCACAGTGTTGCTTCTGATGTTTGTTAAACCCTCAGTATTCTCTCTGCCAACAGGAAAATGTAGCTTTCTTCAGTTACCCCTTCAGCTTTGAAGCTTTCTACATGAGTGAAAAAGAGAGTGAGGGTTAGTATCAGCCATGGGGTGTTTCATTACATTATTATATACCATGATGCATTTAACAAATGATACTAATACTTTTATCCTTATCTCAGAGCCAATTCTTCAGTGGCCAGTGATCTACTTTAAGGTCCTCTCTCTGGACTCCTGGCAGCGCTACAGAACTGAAGGCTACGGCTATCTGCTGTTTCCTGCCATACCTGGTATGCTTTGTACACTGCAGAGTTTAATTATTCATCAAATAGTCTTATTTCCAAACATTAAAAAAACAAAACCAACAATTTCATGAAGTCTGAACCAATAAATGTTTGGCAAAAATATTTGCAGTTATTTAATCTCTTACAAAATTTTTATAAAAGACACTTTTCTTTTTACATTTTGGAAAAACTGTGAATGTATCTGTTGTGATTTAAAATATAGAC